TTCTCAGACTGTTGGGAAGTGATGTCGGCAGTTCAATTCCTTTTAGCTTACTTTGAATAAGATGTACTGCAATGGTGAATTCCTGCATGGTCATCTTGCCATCACGATCTATGTCTGCAAGGTTCCTGAATAACACAACAAAGAACAGAACAACTGTCACTGAAAGTAATTCCAAACAGATTAAAGGTACACTGTACAAGCAAGTGATATGTAATCCAAAGAGGTTAAAATTATGTCCTCATAGAAAACCCAATAAAGCACACTTTCATTTACATGTATATGAAGGAAATGCAAGCACTTTTAGTAATAATCGAGAAATAGGAGTATGGACTGTAGACATGTAACTGTATGGAAGTGTACATGTACAGAGTACAGTCTAACCTCTCCTTAAGGACACCTCTTTTATTACGGACAGTTCATTTGGTCCCAGAAGTGCCAAAAATCAAACATGCCCTACCTCTATAATATGGACACCTCTGTGAAGTGGACAATTGGTTCTGTCCCTTTTGGTGTCCGTATTAAAGAGGTTTGACTGTAGCTGTTTCACAACATAAAATTGAAAGTACATTTCACAATGTAAGGTCAAATCCATCTTAAAGCTGTAACTGGTCATTGTCTATCACGAACGTCACTTATTTGCTGCCTAAGTTCTTTTGGCTCTCTTTTCCCTTTGTGTCAAATAAAAGTAGGTGAGGGCAATGCTCACAGACACCAGAGGAACTACCAGGCCCTTGGTAGTCTCCCTCGTAGCCATCCCGTCTCATCATGCAATGCTCCTCCCCAAGAAACGGCTGCTCACATTCCAGTCACATTCCTTTCCAGTAAGCTGTTGTTTTATCAAACCACAGAAATGACCAATCATTTATCAGCAAAGTGAAAATGACGTCAGTTTTCATGCAAAGAATGACCCCTGTGATTTCTAGTTACATCAGAGTGGTCAGCCCCAACGGGCCAGGTTCCGTTTTGCATTCATAAACACTGAATCAAAGATTGAAAACACTTGGCATTGAAATGGGCGAATTCTAACTATTCAATGCTTGGTATAAAACCTTAAAATCAGCAACTTTTCCATTGAGGAAAAAATTTAGGGGCACGAAACAACTAATTGTATCAGATTATCAGCATTGATCATCAGGCCTGTCACATGCATGTAGACACACACGGGATATTATATTTTTTCAAAAATCATTAGAATTGCAAGTAAGAAAACGTAAATACCGCTTTAAGTGGACATCAAATTCAATTCTCACACTGGATAAGTAGTGAAATCGTAGCAATTTCAAATCCGTTTTATTCAGAACTAATGTATCTAACGAGACAAATAATGGCCTTCTGGGAGACAACTTGACACCACATGATATGTTAGAATGCTGGCTATGATTGAATGGCATGTGAAAGGATAATTTGGGGCAAAACAGTTCCAGAAAAGAGAACCACAGTTGTGATTGGCCCAAATTGGGAGAGGAATGTGGTTTGTTTGTGAGCAGCCGTTTCTTGGGGACGAGTGTTGTGTGACGAGACAAAAATGGCTGCAAGGGAGACTAAGCCCTTGGTGACAGCTCTACAGGTTTTTTGCCTCTAACAAAAGGTGTTGAAAACTGTATTGGCACAGTTGGTCATTTGCTTACTTACAGTACAAGACAGTTAAACACAGGTATGACTGTAAAATTAACTGAGTCCTTTAATGTCGCAAGGAAACACTTTATAGTTGTACATGGTGTTTTAATGTATTCTAGAGTTTGAAATTTTAACTCAGTTAAACAATGTGAATTTCCCTTAGTCTAGGATACATTTAAATTTTTGTTACTAAATTAAAAAGCTCTATAACCTGAGGCCAAGGAAATTTTATAAGAATACTACTGTACATGCCCACAGCTCGTTTTGCATTGTTACCAAACCTTAAAAAAATAGAACAAAACTACATTGTATAATATTTAATGTACCGATTCAGAAGTGGATTAAAAAAAAGTTCACCAATAAACTCACCATATCTGACCTAAGACCATTGGAGGAAGATTGGACTTGAGGAAATACTTTTTGGCTTGCTCCCCTTGGGAATTTGAAAGTAAAATCACAATAAGCTCTTTTTTTACTCATACAGTGTAAAACACAACACGTATTGACACAAACTGGCAGCATAAACAGAGAAATATAACACCCTTAATTCAACTGTCTATATTATTGTGCTGGGAAATTAATTTTACAGGGCTTTAATTGATGTTAAATGATTGTACAACAAAATCCTTTGAAGATGGACATAAAATCAAGTGGACAGTCAACTGATTACCCTGTTAGTTAGAGAAGTTGCACTGAGATAAGAATAATAATACAGGGTGGTCACTAAGATTTCAAATTGCAGAGAAAATTATGCTATTAGTATGAGGGGAATAGAACAGCTAGAAAGTTCCTTTGGTCTATTTTCCAGCAAATTCTTATGAAGGTAGCCAGGGGCCATGCCCATGGTCACTGAGAGAAAAACCCAGCTCTGGGTCCTCAGTAACAGCCCTGATAAAAATGATAATATTAATAACTTGATAATAAGAATAGTATTTAGACACCTGTACAATTCTTTGCACCATACAAAAGCCAAAAAAATCACTATCTGCTTGACTATTTAATTCAAAAGATCCCAAGCATAGAACATCATTTAGTTTATGTGGAATTTCTTCCAAACATTTGCAAGTTCCTCGGCAGTTTCAGAGTATGAAAGGAAATTTTTCTTGTGGATATTTTTAAAAAAGCACTTTGACACTCTTTGAATGGTGTTTCTGCGTATCCTTGGTATCTCTTTGAGGCATTTAAAATCTTCTCTCAGTTCTCATGCTCTGCACTGCCAAAATAGCTGAACCACTGCATGGCCTTGTTCGTCCACTTTACATGTGTAAATTTTTCGTTAGTTGAGAACTGTTGAATGAAATAAAAAACTTCCAAATTTGGTCAGCAATAGCTGGCGCAGTTATGAAAAATTAGCCAGGGTATTAAGCCAATAACAAACAGAGGAATATTTTGAAAGAATGAAAATAAAAAATAATGGAGAAACACTTTTTCCTGTTTCAGATTTTCTGTTTTGATGTTCTCAGCGAGTTTCATATTCGCAAAGAAATTTACGGTCTTTGCGGTACTCTTTATTAATAAGAAGAAACTTAATTTCACTTTAATCTTCATTGTGAAGTCTTATACCCAGCTGGCTTTTATACCTGTCAGAAAACCACTGATGGGATTCAGACTCTGGAAGGTCGCCTCATGTTTGGTCCGGTCCTCCGATGTTACGACCCACGATGCTGTAGAATTCAGATAAAGAAAAGATACATAAAGGAAACTATTTACTAAAACAAAGACGGGCAATAACTGATCGCTAATTTAAATTGTAAAATAAGCTTACTTGGAAGGGATGAGCCAATCCCAACGGGCGAAGAGGAGGCGAGTTGTGTAGCCATCTTGGTCACTTCTTAGCCATAACAAAAGCTCCTTTACAGAAACCGTCTCACTTTGAGGCGCTTCTAAGTTCCAGTCACCATTGCTGTACAAAATCATGCATCCTCCAACTCCGTGTGTATGAGATCAAGCGAATCAAGCAGGAATTGTCGCGATCCTTGAGGGTACAATATTGCTTTGAATTAGAGGCAATTTAACGACGATTCTCACAGCGCCGGGCCGAGTCTTATAGACTGATAACTTGGTTAGCTTATGATTAACAGTAAAAGTTTAAAACTGTGGAGCAAAAAACAAAATTCGCAGAATGAATGCTTTGATGGAAGAGGCATCCATAACATACCCTTCAGGCATTCGACGGAAACAACACATGTCTTTTGCGCATGCGCTTCGCAACGACTGAGTTTTAGGCATTCTGGGTAATATTGATGCGAAGAACTGGGTCTCCCCGTTTATTCAATATGGCTGACTGTGTCTTGAGGCTGTGTTAAACATACTTTTTCCCGGGTACTTTTTCATTTTGACAAAGCTAAGGAAACGATTTGTCGACAACTCATCTGAGTATTACCCTCCTTTTCTATTTGTCGCCTGATTTCCTTTGCAATTCCATACCATTTATTAGTTTGGCTCCCTCCCACGGTCGTTTTTAGGATGAGAACCATCAATAACCTACTTCCTTAGCATTGCTGGTCCGCACGTGACGTCACGTCGGGCTTGTTGGTGTTCAAAAACAAAAGCTTTTCTCTCCTTTAGGAACTAAACTCTAATTCTGTTGTCTTGATCCCCAACATGGGGGCATCAGAGTCACTATTTTACCATTTTTTAGGCACTGGAATCACATTTTTATCCCCAAGAGGGATAGCAATTTGATTTTTCCTTGTTTGGAAGCAGTCAGAGTATAGAATTCCTATTCGAGAGTGCAGCTGGAATCTGGATTGGCATCCATATATAGCCTGGGCACCTAAAAGGGGCCTGTTGCTACCGCAGAGAATCGTGCAGTGCTGTCAACTCTCCCGGATAATCCGGTAGACTCCAGATTTTGAACTGTATCTCCCAGTCTCCATATTAGAGCCTGAAATCTCCCAGATAATAGCCAAAGTTTGCCATTTCCTGTAGACTTGACTCTCTGACAATGACATTTCAATATTTTGCATTGTTTGAGCTATTTCATTTTATTTTGTTTTATTTTTTTATTTTTGTTGTGTTTGTTTGTTTGTTTTTTTTTTAGCTATTTTGTTAACATTGAACGTTTCCTTATAAACTCCAGTATGCCACTGAAATATAAGCAATAATGTGATTGGTGGCAAGTTAACCAATCAGGTCAAATGTTACAATTCCAACAACATATTTTTTGCGCGTTTTTGGAGAATTAAGGTCATATGCAGTGCATTATGACGTCATCTACCAATCCTCACTATTTGAAGACTTAAGGGGTTGACTGGCCTGATCGTGCCTTCCAGCCATAAAGGGATTTTGGATAAAGATGATATTTCCCAAATGACATTCATGTCCGTGATTTAATTTCTTTGAGTACATTCAGATTCACTCTGTATTTATAAACCGTCTTT